CGACACTGGATGGGCACGATATTTTACTGGGACGTGATTGGTTGCGACGGTATAACCCGCGAATTGTCTGGACGACGGGTAGCTGCACCGTGCGAAGTAGTGGTAACTAGGTCGAGTTACCTCGCTGGCAGTCGCCCGAGTCTTCAACGGTACACGTCAACGCCATCAGAATGAAACGGGTTGTCGCTGCTGGAGCTGACGTGTACGCAGTAGACATCGCAGTAGTAGAGCAAGCAGAGCAGCTGAGTGATTTCAAGAAACTGCTGGCAGCCGTACCGCCCAAATTACAGGAACTGTTGAAACGATACCCCGGGATTTTCCCCGACGACTTACCGTAGGGACTGCCACCTCAGCGAGCACATGACCACCGAATCGAATTAGAACCGGGAGCACAGCCAACCGTACAGCGCCAGTTCAGACTGACACAGCCCGAGCTCGACGAACTAAGGAAGCAGTTAGATTACCTGTTAGAGAAAAAATTCATCAGACCGAGCTCGTCACCGTTCGCCGCACCGATGCTATTCACGCCGAAAAAAGACGGGGGTTTTCGCATGTGTATCGACTACAGAGCACTGAACAAGGTAACAGTCAAGTCGCGGTACCCCATTCCCCGCGCCGACGAACTGATCGATCAACTACGAACAGCACGGGTTTTTTCGAAAATAGATTTACGGCGAGGTTACCATCAGATTAGGGTCGAACCATCGGACTGCGCCAAAATAGCTTTCAGGACTAGGTACGGGTCGTTCGAGTACACTGTGATGCCATTCGGGCTGACCAACGCACCGGCGACTTTTCAGATGACCATGAACGAGGCATTTAGGCCGCTCTTAGATAAATGTGTAATAATTTACCTTGACGACATCCTAGTGTACAGTCAGGATAAGCAGCAGCACTTAGCAGATCTGGAAGCAGTGTTTAAGGTTTTAGACGAGCACAGATTACTGACCAAGGGTTCCAAGTGCGAGTTCTTCCACGATAGGTTAGACTTTTTGGGGCACGTTATTTCGGAGGCTGGCGTTGAAATCGACCCAAAGAAGCTGGATACAGTAAAAGCGTGGCATCCCCCAACGAACATCACGGAGCTGCAGAGCTTTTTAGGGTTCGTTAATTACGTGCGTCGATTCGTCCCCGATATGGCACGGTTAACTGCCCCACTGACGGATTTACTGCGAAAGGGGGTCGCTTTTACGTGGGGGAAGAAAGAGCATGCTGCCTTCTCTGCCCTGAAAAATGTTCTCTGTTCACCGCCCGTCCTGCGCATCGCCGACCCACACCGCCCATTCGAAGTAGTTACCGACGCAAGCGATATCGCGATCGGAGTCGTACTGCTACAGGATTTCGGCAATGGCCTACAGCCTATCGCATATGAGTCACGAAAACTGCATCCGCCCGAGAAAAATTATCCGATCCACGACCGCGAAATGCTTGCGATCGTGCACGCGTTCAAAGTATGGCGCTGTTACTTGACTGGCGCGGACGTGACAATACGGACAGACCATAAATCACTACAGTACCTTCGCGCACATCCACACCTCAACCCACGACAGATTCGCTGGCTCAATTTCCTCGAGTCCAACTTTCACTACACGGTCACTTACAAGAAGGGAGCCTCGAACGTCGCCGACGCACTGACCCACCCCACTGCCCAGATCCACGCAATACTACTTGCCCAGACAAGCCCGCTACTGACAGGCCTATTCACCCACGGGTACCAAACGGATCCATTCTTCACAGGAGGAAATTCGCAGCAGCAAAGGGAGTCTATTACGTAAAAACCGGGACTGACCGCATTTGGGTGCCTGGGTATACACTGCTACGGGAATCACTGTTACAGGAGGCACACGACGGAGTTACCTTGGGGAATTTCGGAGTAGAAAAAACACGGCAGCAGCTGCAGCGGTATTATTATTGGCCCGAAATGTTGACCGATGTACAACGACACGTGGCATCGTGTCCCACTTGTCAGCTCATGAAATCATCACGACAGCGGCCGGCGGGACAGTTGCAGCCGATACCACCCCCAGAGCGTGCTTGGGAGCAGGTGACGATTGACTTCGTCACGAGGTTATCAGCCGGGGCGAGTGGGAACGACGCGATCCTGGTCGTCGTCGATCGACTGACGAAAATGGCACATTTCGCAGACTGCAAAAAATCGATCACAGCCGAAGAAACAGCACCCCTCTTCATCCCTACCGTCGTTCGACTGCACGAGATACCCGCCGCGATCATCAGCGACCGCGACACAAAATTGACCAGCAACTTCTGGCGGAACCTGTGGCAGCAGTTCGGCACGCGACTGCAGTTCAGTTCATCATACCACCCCGAAACCGACGGACAGACAGAACAGACAAATCAGACCATGGAACAGCTCATCAGGGCCACGTGTGACGACCCGACCACGTGGGAACAGCAACTGCCACTAATCGAATTCGCGTACAACAACTCGCCATCCGCCACGACCCAACAGTCACCATTTTACCTAAACTACGGACAAGACCCGACAGTACCCATGACCCCGAATCCCGACAACCTAGTACCACGAGCACAACAGTTCGCCGAAATATCACAAGCAGCACGGACCCAGGCAGTTGACGCAATAAAAAAATCGAACATCATTGCTAAACGCAACGCCGACCGCCACCGCAGACCTGTCACTTACCAGCCCGACGACTTAGTTTTACTTGACACTCAGAACCTCCGACTGCCCATCACCCCGAAACTCCGCCCCCGATACTGCGGGCCATTTCGCATAAGCCACATGCTTACACCCGTCATCGCCCACCTCCTCCTCCCTACTGACTGGTACGTCAGCCCCTCATTCCACGTCAGCCTACTTCGCCCTTACCGTATTCTCCCGGATAAAACACCCCCCCGTAATTGTACACCCCCGGGTAGCTAATACGTGGTGGTTGTTACGGTATATCCGACCCCGTTTGTACTATACCCCCCCTTTTGGGGTGATTTTCTATAACACCCCCCTTTTCTTATAGATTCATATTGTAGCTGTTATCGAGTCCGATTCCTTACGGGAAGATATCGCGAGAATTGCTCCCTAGGTGAAATTTCGCGTGTACTTTCACTTAGAATCTGCCAAGGTTTCCCCCCTCCCACAATCTCGCTGTCGCCACGCTGGCGAATCTTCCGCTGCAAGTGGCCCAATAGGTGAAATTCACCTTCTCACATAAGAACGCATCACCGTGCGTGATTCTGGCCTCGGCGGTTGCATGAACCCTCGCCACGCAATTGGATTTGTTTTCACCCTATCAAGTGCCAGAATTGCCCACTCGAATTTGCCACGTGGCAGATTCCAGTGGGCGGTCACGTTATCCTCGTATACTCGGTTTTGCGGCACTAGTCAACAATCTTGAAGTGGAGTCAGGCCCCTGCTTTTGTTTCACATCTTTTCTACTTGATAAAAAATATACCATATACGGTAATAAGACCCGGGTATTATGTAGGATTTTCATTTGAGAAGACCCCCCCCCCCCCCCCCATTTTTTCCCAGTGGTTTTCATAATACCCTTGGGTGTTTTATCCGGGAGAATACGGTACGTCCCGTCCACGAGCCAACTGCCGCGCAATCGCCCAGCCAGCATGACAAGACCACCAACTGAACCAATCATCACCCCCGAGAAAATCCTAAATCACAGAGTTCGCGACCCTCGAGGAGCCCGAAGGATCGAGTTCTTACTCCGCTGGAAGGACCGTACACCCACCGAAGACAATTGGGTTCCCCTGGACATAATCGAAAACCACCCCGTCCTCACCGAGTATCTGCGCAGCCGAAATTTCAGGGATGTACACGCACTTTCGTAATAGGACCTCTTAAGGGGGGGGGGGTAGTGTAAGGAAAATTCCCTTTTCCTTACTTCGCTTCCCTGCTCAACGCGTACATCACTGTAGCACCACAGTCAGCACCGTCACCACTCGCAACCCTCGCATCGACAATCCGCCCGCCACCTTCACACATCGCACCCCGACCTCACGGCGCGTCGGGTAACCCGCGCTCTGGGTCTCCGCTTCGACACTTTTTTCCAACCTCAGTCCCAGGCCCGTCGCGCGACAGCCACGGTTCATTATCGTTACTACCGTCATACCCCGGATATAAGCGCCACCCGCGGATAAGCGCCTGGCGCTTTTAATTGGCGTGTGGCGCTTATATCCGGTGCTCGATTATAAGCGCACCCCCTGAAGGCTTACGTATTATAAGAGCCACCATTTGTATTAGTTTTTATGAAGTTACTGGAATCTCTGTAGCGAAACATACTATTTGCATCCTCACTTGATAAAATTTCGACCCTTTACCCTCGCGCGACTCAACTGACTGCACGTCCAGTCAGAATGAGCTGTCATGGGGCGAAATGACTCATTCTGACTGTGTGTGTTGGCAGTTTGCCAACTTACGCGAGATCATTTTTCACACCCACTATGATCTTGACTTGATTGAAATCGCAATGACAAGATGAACATTTTGAATTGAAAACAACTAGATTTCATATATGTCATTGTATAAGCCCCGGCGCTTATAAAATTACTATATTATAAGCCCACCCCCTAAAAAAAACACGTTTTATTAGTGCCCCCCATGGGGGCATATCCGGGGTATGACGGTACTGTAGTTTCGCTATATATTCTTCGCTCATGCCTTAGCTCATTGTATTCTTGCTTCGATAGTGCAATTCTCGTTCGTTCACTCAATTGCACTAGTAACACACATACAGTAATGCACACTATATCGATAAACTGGGTCAGCGACCCACGAGGATAAAACTAAATTAGCCAAGACACCTGACACAACGACTACCCACATGTTCTATTCAGCTGTGCAAGAGAAGCAGCTAAATTAGCCAAGGCCCGCAGTCTTCACCTCAAAGGTGACACCGCCTAATGTACTTCTTTCAGGTAGGACAGTAAAACTTCAGGCTGTGAATTTTGATAATCAATACATGCTAGGAGAACTAAGTACAAAAAGGAGGAGGGAGGAAACTGCTACAGTCCTAAGCGAACTTGCTAGCAGGCACGGACTTGATGGCGGTGATTTGGTTGATCTCGGTGTGCAGAATGTGCTTCTCGCCGCGAATCACGGCGTACATGGCATTGGGCGCGATGTAGTCGCAGGTGCGCTCAATGCGGAAGGGCTCGCCGGGTATCTGTGGGAACAAGCAAGGCAAAGGTGGAGGAAAGGAAACCACGGTTGAGGATATTGAGGTGCATTTACACTACTGATGTGAAAGCTCAACATGATATGTCATTCGGAGGATAGGAAGAATAAATCAATCGCGACGGGGTGAGGTGAGGAGGCTGAAAGAGTGAAAATGTATCGTAAAACACATTTGGCAAAGCATGAAACTAAAGCACCCACCTGGTTGCCGGAGTGAATTTGCACGCCAGTGATGACAGCGTAGTCAGCAGTAGCAGGGTCCACAGTCAGCGAGATCAGATGCTCCAAGTCGTCAGTGATCGCCTGCAGGGCGGCCTTGGTGACCTGCGTGGAGGAGAAATAGAAAGTGAGAAACGAGGGATGAGCGGATGAGAAGGATGAATACTATTGCTGAAATTTCTGTGAATTTGAGTAAGTTGCTACATGCGTGACGCATTCACTGAGCTCTTTTTGCCTAACCCATCCCCTAAAAAAACGTCGCTCAAGCATAAATTAAACCAGAATTCAACTCCAAAACTCTCATGCTAACCATGCTACAGCTCCTCCCGGTTCACGCTTCCCCAGTTCTCTCGTCATCATCCCCTCTAAAATCTCACCTGCACCAGGGACGGGCCGTCGGGGCCGGACGGCTTGACTCGCGCGATGATCTTCTTCTTGAGCTCCACATACTCGGCGTTATCGGCGTCCTCCACCACGGGCCCGCCCGCCTTGATGTCGCCCTTGATCGCGATCAGCGCTCCGCACGCGCTCGACGGCTTACCGCGCCCGCGACGCAGCAGCGAACCGACCTCGCCCGACTCGCCGATGGACACGTGGGGGAATCCGAAGAAAATGTCTGTAACGGGTGGGGTGGGGTGGAGCGTATCGCGTGGATGACTGAAGATGTTAGGAGAGGGAGAGGGAGAAGGGGAGAGAGAGAGAGAGAGGGGGGGGGAGAGGGAGAGAGGGAGAGAGAGAGAGAGGGAGAGAGGGAGAGAGAGGGGGGGGAGAGGGAGAGAGAGAGGGGGGGGGAGAGGGAGAGAGAGAGGGGGGGGAGAGGGAGAGAGAGAGGGGGGGGGAGAGGGAGAGAGGGAGAGAGAGAGAGAGAGAGAGAGAGAGAGAGAGAGAGAGAGAGAGAGAGAGAGAGAGAGAGAGAAAAAAAAAAATCAAGAAGGCTTAGGAAGATAAAGCTGATAGAACCACTCAAATGCCCGGGAAAATGGTCTGTCGCTTACATCGTTCGCGGGGCTTGCCGTCCTTCTCGCATGGGAACTCGGGCGAGTGCGACATGGCAGCCTTGAATCCGGTCTTGCCGCAAATCACGAGCCCGCCGAGCCCGGCGATATTGAAGCTCATCCCGAACTCCCTATCGATAAGGTTAACAATCGGGCGGCAGACTTCGTCGCGGCAAGTGTTGACGAGCGCAATGCAGTTGTCGCGGCGGAAGCCGAGATTGCGGAGCTCCTCCGCAACCGCGTGCATGAACGTCTCCTCCTGCATCGCGTTCGGGAACGTCGCCGCCATCGTCGCCAGCGCGGGCGCCGCCGCGCGCCTCGCGTGCGTCACGGGCGCGGAGCTGGCGGCAGCGGGAGCCGCCGCGGCCGGCGCGGCCGGCTTGTTGGTCAGGAGCGCGAGCGCGGCTCCGCCGACGACGCCAGCGCCGATGATTCCGGGGACGAGGAGGCTGTTGTCAGCCGCGGGAGCAGGCGCCGCCTGCGTCACGCTGGCGAAGAGGGTTTGCGACGAAGTCTCCGCATCGTTGTTCGCGGACGCGGCGGCGGCGCGGACGACTGAATGGCGGGAGCACTTGCACTTGCGCGCGCAGGCGGCCTTGGCGGCGGCCTTCACGGGGGCAGCGGCGCGCAGGCCGGAGGAGGGGATGGCGCTGGATGAAGTCATTGACTCTGTTTGACCGAGCAGAGCCGCAGGATTCCTCGCGGTCAATGTGTGGGCGCTGATGGTGGCCATGGCAGCAACTTACGAGCCTGCGAACTGATTAGGTAGGCGAAGGAGGCTGCTGAAGATCTACACAAGGACTTGGCGAGAAGCTCTGCTTGCAGAGCACGAGAAGTGATGGAAGAATCAATGAGCGATAAGTGATTTAGAAATGGCCAAAGCTTTTACAGTTTCAGTTTCCCTGTCAGGCTCATCCCTCTGTCTCGTCTTGGTGCTTGCTTGGGTAGGTGACAGGGAGGGGAGAGTCTGACCAGGCCCACGGGCAAGTCTTGGCTTGTGTTGTGTGGTGGAATGGCGCTAATTTTCCTGGTTAAATTTTCGGGCGTTGGAGGAATGAATGAATGAAACCAGGAATTCTGAACTCAGTCCCGGAAAACGGCAGTGTGCATACAGAACGTTCGGCGCGCTTCGTGATGTGCAGGTTGTGATGCCCGCCAATCAACGTGCAAGCGACGCCCCTCTGAACCTGCGCTTGAATTCGGGCATCCCCCAAGTTCGATCGATTATCATCGTCACTATGGTTACCACTTTCGCGTTTCTAGAGGTTTGCGTACGTGGAGCTCCAGCTGTCCACAATTTTGCGGCTGTAAGAGTTGGAGAGGTTACTGGGTCGAAGCCTCGTCATCCATATAGAGATACACCTCAGATAATCCGATGTGGCAACCCCGATGTGGATGCTGAACCTGCTCCAAATTTGGCGCCAGATTTTCCTGTGATCTTTGTCAGATGACCCTTCTGGGCGGGACTTGCATTGCCAGCATCAAAGCAGCTCGAACTGAAAGTGCAATAGCAAGCAAAATACTACCACAACTTAGGATCAACATCGATTTCGGAGTCCGAGTCTAATGGGCTTCATTCAGCCTGAGCTTCTCGATCCTGAGGAAATTATTTCCGCCATTGCTGTGTGCTGCGTTGCTACCGCTGGACATTTGTATCAACGACGAGGAATTTATTAACAGAGAATATCAATAACGTTGCGCTTTTCTTGAGAAACGTTCCATTGTCATGGAAATGATGGTTCTTATTCACTGGCTAAGCATACATTGAGCAACATCAAGTCACGAGCGGTCAAAGAGTCAACGCCTCCTTGGCTTTGTCAGGACGCGAAAAAATGGCAGAAACAGCTGAAGTCGTTCAAGAGTTGGTGCAACTAGTTGTTGGAGAATAAGTCGGCAGGCACGGACTTGATGGCGGTGATTTGGTTGATCTCCGTGTGAAGAATGTGCTTCTCTCCGCGAATCACGGCGTACATGGCATTGGGCGCGATGTAGTCGCAGGTACGCTCAATGCGGAAGGGCTCGCCGGGGATCTGCATAGAGAGGCACGGGGTTTGGATCAATTTCGATGTTAAAAAAAGAAAGCTTCAAGCGAAGGTTTTTTTGTCCCGGCATAAGTGTTGAGTGGCGTGCTTCACAGGGGTACTAACCTGATCGCCAGAGTGAATCTGCACGCCAGTGATAACGGCGTAGTCGGCAGTAGTGGTATCCACAGTGAGGGAGATGAGATGCTCCAGGTCATCAGTAATTGCTTGGAGCGCGGCCCTGGTGACTTGGACTAGCGACGGGCCGTCGGAAGGAGTCGAGGACGGCTTCACACGCGCAATGATCTTCTTTTTGAGAGACACATACTCGGCATTATCCGGGTCTTCTTCTACGGGCCCGCCTGCCTGGATGTCGCCCTTGATTGCAATCAGCGCTCCGCACGCGCTCGACGGCTTGCCGCGTCCACGCCGCAGTAGAGACCCCACCTCGCCCGACTCACCGATCGACACGTGGGGGAACCCGAAAAATATGTCTGTAGCAGGGGGCCCGGGGGGGTAAACGGGTATGGTATAATAGTTTGATTGACATCAGAAAAAGAGACGTCAATTTCACCAATTCGACTTGTATTGACCTTGTTTAACTATTTCATACTTTCGTTTCAAAAAGTTCACTTCTATTGAGTCAGAATGGACTTACATCTTTCGCGTGGCTTGCCGTCGGTTTCACACGGGAACTCAGGCGAATGCGACATAGCCGCCTTGAACCCCGTCTTGCCGCAACTCACGAGTCCTCCCAGACCCGCGAGGTTGAACGACATGCCGAACTCCTTGTCGATGAGGTTCACAATTGGGCGGCAGACTTCGTCGCGACATGTGTTCACGAGCGCGATGCAATTGTCTCGGTTAAAGCCAAGGTTGCGGAGCTCCTCTGCCACCGCTTTCATAAACGTATCCTCCTGCATCGCGTTCGGAAACGTCGCCGCCATCGTCGCCAGCGCGGCAGGCGCCGCTCGCTTCACGAATTTAGTCGCCGCGCCATTTGTGTAGCTGGACGTGACAGCAGCAGCGGCAACGACGGCCGGAGTAGGAGGGGCAGGTTTCGCGGGTGGTGCGGCTTTCTTTGAAAGGAGCGCAAACGTAGCTCCTCCAAGGAGGCCTGCAGCGAGGACGGCAGGGACGATGCTAGAGGAAGCAGGAGGTGCAGCCGACGGAGCGGAAGTCTGTGCCACGCTGGCGAACAGCGCTTGCGATGACGTGGCGACATCGCTGGTTTCGTGCGAGCTGCTGTTTTCGGAAACTGCTGCAGCGCGGATGGCGGGGTGGCGCGAGCATTTGCAGTCGCTGGTGCACTTGCTTTTTGCGGCAATTACTTTCGCTGGGACGTGCGTGCGGAGACCAGAGAACGTGGGTATGTGCGACGGGGAGGAAGAAGCTGAGGTGCATTCGCCCAAGATGCTGGAGGAACTCTGAGCGACTAGAGAAGACGAGCTGAGGGCAGCCATCTTATAAGAAGGTTATTAGCGCCTAGTGGATTTTGGTGGCTATGCGTTTCGTAAGCACGGGTATAGAATCTTGAACAACTAAAATGATGTTTGTAACATGCACAATTGAAATTTATGAAGCACCAGCATTCCTCTAGTGGAGACGTCGCCGGAACCGAGCCGCCCAAGTGACGCTTGGGGTTGGCTGCGATGTGTGTGGAGACGAAAGGTTGCGGGAAGCCAGCTGTGAATTCATTTTGGTGAGTCATTAACTGTACAGTGTACACATTCACGGATTGGGAAATGCATGCCACGTGGGATGGACATGTGGCTCCGCAAGCTCATGTACATCGCCCTTGCTTCTGGGGAAAGGCGGCGAGGCATGGGAATATTAGTGATGCATAGGTTTGTGAGTTCCTCGCCTCCGTTTACCATGTGGCTCTTTCAGTTCTGATGAAAGTTTTATCTATCCATCACAACAGCGTGAGTTTGATCAATTTTCACATCCAACTTTTGAGCATATCAGTTTATAATTACTTGATTTCTAATAAATTTAGTTATTTTCATTTTATAAGCGTTTTTCAACAACGGTGACCTGTTTTCCTTTTTGATCTCAAACAAAACCATGATACTGGTCTATGTAGTGCAATTTGAGTTCTCTCACTTAGCTGCACTGGTAACAGTAGTCTAGGTTCGCCGCTTGGCAGTTCCGTGCATGCGATAGGATCTCGCCGAATCGTTGAGCAGTGGCGAGTCATTCTCTTGGGCCGGAAGTGTGCAAACGAGTTGCGAGCTCATTACGGTAACCAGCATTTCTGACAAACCGAAAAGTGCGCAAGACATTTGATTGACCTCAACGGCTCTCTCCAATGAACTCCCACTTTCCCTCACCCTCGAATCTTCCCGCAAACCTAGATATCTCCGCACGAAGTTCCGCCAGCACTTGTGTCTCCGCAACGCACTGCCGCGGGGTGGTTGAGGCGGGAGAGGGATGGGGAAATGGACCAGTGGGGGAAACCTCGCGCCACTTGTTGCACCAACACTTCGCCAGGCAACCCCTCAGCGCTGTAGAGCCAGGCGTCCGGCCTTGTCGCTGCCCCCACCCGCTATGTTCCGCCAAGCCGACAAAGGGGCTTCGGCAATCTCAATGTTGGTTCGTCATTCTTGAAGGCAATGCTGCAACAACCAACCATTTGTGGACCAACTGCTCGCCTGAAAAGCTTGGCTTGCTTATTAGTTCTCTCAGATGATGACCCGTCACTATAGGCGAAACTCGTACTTTATTACTGAGCGCCGGAAGTTATTCGATACTATTGCTGCATTTTCGTTAGAGTGTCTCGGTTAAAAACTGCTATCGAGTGGTTACGTAAGTTGTTTCCCGCCTAAGTTATGTTTTCCTCAACGTAACCCTAGCTTTTGGTAGTCGTGGTACCTTACACTCGTTTTCAGGTTCCCTAACACGTCGTTCCGATCAAGGTGTATTCGTTCTAACTTCTAATCCTGCAGGTTGGAACCGCATCTAAGTTCGCTATTATTTCCATATAGTATCCAGTGTCTATTATAACAATGGCTGAAGCTGAAGAGGAGGACGATCTTGAGGTTCCCCTCGAGTTCATCTGTCCCTTATCCGATGACATAATGCGCGATCCGGTGATCATCGCGTCGGGACTTAGCTACGAGCGCGATCTGATCAAGGTATGGTTCGCAGCAGGCCGGCGCGTCTGCCCGAAAAGCGGCATGAAACTCGACCACACCGAGTTCTTCCCCAACGTGGCTCTTAAAGCCCTCATCGCCGAATGGTGCGAGAAGCACGACCTCGATCTCGCGCCTCTCCCGGAAGGCCTCGAGGAGGAACTTGCCGCGCAAGTTCGCGCGCAAGACGAGGAACCGTCTCCGACGTCCTCTAGCCGCGGCAGCCCGGGAAGGAGAGGCGGGGGGGGCGCAGGAGGTTACAGGGATGGCCCGAGACGGGGCCGACCTGGAGATGACTATGATGACGCGGACGAATCTCAGCCGTATGTGCAGCGGTCTGCTAGCGCGGGGAGCGGGAGGCGGAGGGGACCGGGGGATCGAGATCGGGACGACGATAGCGGGTCTGATAGGGGGAGTGGGCGGACTGGATCTCGTACGCGAGAGGCTTATAGCGAGGACGAGGACCGGCGGGGCAGGGGGAGTGGCGGGGGAAGGGGGGGCGGCGGAGGTAGTCGGCTGCAGCCGCGGAGTGAGGAGGAGCGGAGAGCGCGCACAGGGCGTGTGGCGGCGCAGCTGTTGTCGCGGCAACGGGGGAGAGGGGGAGGGGGAAGCGCGGGAGGAGGCACCGCGCGGGAACGAGGGAAGGATGGTTATAGAGACCGGGAGCGGGATAGCGATTCGGATAGGGACGGGGAAGGACACCGCGATCGAAACAGGGATGGGTACAGGGACAGAGATCGAGACAGGGACCGGGACAGAGATAGAGCGAGGGAACCGGATAGAGACAGGGATCGAGAGAGGGATAGGGATAGGGACAGGGACAGGTACGGAGAGAGGGACAGGGAGAGAGGAGGGGAGCGAGAGAGGGGCAGGGGAAGGGATGATGACAGCACGTATTCACCTAGGCGGCCTCCTTCGGACCGAGGGGGGAGAGGAGGCGGGAGAGGCGTGGGAAGGGCTGGGCCACGAGTAGCAGGGAGAGGCGATAGGGATGTGGGGAGAACGGGGAGAAAAGAGGCAGAGGAGAAACCAGGGGAGATAGCGGAAGCTTCGGGGAAAGAAGCGGCTGCTGTGGAGGGCACAGGTGAAGCAGCAGCAGCAGCAGCAGGGGAGGGTGCAGCAGGGGAAGGGACAGCAGCAGCAGCAACAGCAGCAGCGGAAGGGGGCGCAGGAGACGCAGAGGGGGGAGCAGGGAAAGCGAAAGGTGAAGGCGCGGACGCAGCGGGCGCAGCGGAGGGGGGCGGAGCGGAAGGGGAAGCAGCGGGTCCGGAAGCATGGGCGGACAGGAGAACGATGAGCCTAGACGAGCGGACGAGAGAAGGGCAGGAACCGCCAGGGTCCCCTGCCGGTAGCTCGTCATTCGAGCGCCAGCTCACCTCCCCTGCCAACCCCTCGGCTGCAGGAGCTAAGGAGGGCAGCGGGTCAAGGCACAGAGGTTCAGGCGCTGCTTCGTCTCCTCTTAGAAAGCCCAGTAGTGGGGCTGGTGCGAGAAACCTGCCGCCCCAGCCTCGGCCAACCAGGGATAAAACGCGGCTAGGGGGTGCCGGTGGGGCCACGGGCAGTGGGAAGGACAGGACTGGTAGCAGCAGCATCACGGCTAGTTCGCCTAGGTCTCGCCCGCCACTGTCCTCCCCTTCGTCCACGTCATCGTCGTCTCCTAGACCATCCCTCTCGTCCTCGTCTCGATCGATGCGGACGATAGACGACATGCTAGATGCGATCGATCGCGGCTCGTCGGCTGACCGGGAAGAAGGGATCATGCGGCTCCGGTCTGCCCTGAAAGAAAGCTCCGAGGCGCGGCGGCGCGTGGTGAACCGGTCCGATGGGGTTCCAATTCTGGTAGATCTTGTGGAGGATGCATCCGCGTTAGTAGCATCTGGGAGTGACGGAGCGAGCAGAGAGAGCCGAATGGATGCTCCAGCAGTGCTAGACTGTGCTGTATCGGTGATATTACAGCTGACACAGTCTTACGACGGGGCGCTAGAGGTGGTTGATGTTGGGGGCGTGGGGGTTCTCGTGGATTTAGTGGATGGGAAGTGCAGAAAAAAGGGTGGAGGGAGGGACGGTGGCAGCCCGAAAGGCGATGGCGACGGTGCCGCGAGCAAGTTTTCGGAGTCGGTGCGTTCGAACGCAGCGGCGGCGCTGTTTGCGATTGCTACGTGTGACGATGATGATAAGGAGGATGAGGACGGGAGGCGGAGGAGGAGCAGCAGATACCGGAACAAGATTCTCCGATGTGGCGGCATCCCTCCGTTGCTCAAGCTGCTTAAGTTAGAAGCGGCGCGGTGCCGGAAAGACGCGGCTCTCGCGCTCTTTGCCCTCTCAGACGACCCGGACTGTGCCGATGAGATAATCCGGGAGGGCGGGGTGAGCGTGCTGGTGGATTCTCTGTCAGACAAGCGGCCGGGGGTGGAAGAAAAGGCCATGGCTGTGTTGGCGAATCTGGTGAAGTCCAAGGAGGGACAGGCAGCTTTGCTAGAGGTGGAGGGGACACTGGTGATGTTGGATGTGCTGGAGAGTGAGTCGGAACGTGCGCAGGAAGAGGCGCTGTTTGCGCTGTACCATCTGGTTACCACCGGAGTGGTTACGCCTGCGTTTTTGCTGAATGACGGGGCGTTGTTTCCGGTGGCGAAGATGGCTGCTAAGAAAGGGTCACCGCCCGAAGCTCTGGAGCTGCATAAGATTCTCACAGCGGCAAGGAAGAGTGTGGCTACTTGATTAGTGTGGACAAATGCAGATGAGGTAGCTCACTTACCAACATTTAATGTTTAGCAGGTGGATGTCGATTATGTCCCCAATCATCACCTCTCAAGCAGCTCCAATCATAAGTACTTTCCATGTTGCACATGTGGCATTGTGGTACTCTTTTGGTTAGGTCGCCCTTCAGAATGGATATATCAGAAGGGTCAGAAATCGTGTAATGTACTGAAGCATTTTGTATCGAAGCCTTTCAATCCTGCCATTTCGCGCGGATATTTAAACCTGTCACCTGACACTCGGTCAGTCGCGCTTCGTCAGGGATGGAAGTTTGCAGTATGTTTTGAAGCATTTCTCGAAAATTTGGTCAGCTTGTTGGTTGACAAGTTTGAAGTAATATTTTTTGTCCAACGCAAAGGGCGCGTTCCTGGCTCTTGTCAAACTTCCATTTTTCCAGGGATGACACGAAGCTGGCCCCACAGCTGACCCCACTTTGGGTCATCCGAGAGGCACTTCGGGTCATCCAGCTAAGATTTTCCCCTGGTCACTAAGACACGAAGTCTGACGGGAGTTTGACACGAGCCGAACTTAAGTCACTAGTCGCCAGAGCCCAGATATTTAGCTAAACATCGATATTTAGCCTGTCACTAGTCCGCAAGAATAAGGTATTTCACAGGCCATGTGCTGGCGACACATTTTCAATTTATTTGGGGGTGACAAGTGTCGCTGAGCAGCCAGGTGGACTAAAATGTCGGGTGTATTGGGGGGAGACCAGCACGGTCGAAAAACAGAGACATGTGAGCAGTGGCGAATTTGACACAGTCCGCATGGCTCGTTTGCTTTTTTGGACAGATAACTTCAGCACTGAAAGTAGATCAAGACAGACGAAAGAGTGCCAGAGTGCAGTGAATAGTTTCCATGAGTGATGTTGTCGGTCTGTGAGCAGCGGTCACGCCAGATTATATAGTAGCCGCGGCCGCGCCTGCCAACAGACACTACGCCGCGGTTTGTTTGACAGCACTCTGCCTTCAAGTTGTACTCTGCATGACATCGGAGGACGAACCCGCACGCCTGGAGATTTTCTTAAACCGGAAGCTGAAAGGTAGGGGAATGAGAAAGTGCATGGCGAGAACCCTTCAAACTGAATCGCCTCTACCTCCCAGTTCAGCTTCCGACAAGTCAGATACTGAAACGATCACCCTTGGGAATTCCGCCGATGAGCCAGGCTGCGGCTCCGACTACTTGTCACACGAGTGGTAATTTTCAAGACTTTCAGGCTGCGAGTAGATGGAAAAGTTTGCACGCGATCATAATCAGCTCGGAGTAGGTGGCCTATTTGAATCATTCCGCAAGCACATTGCGGAAACGGTGACATCGCATAGGCTGCCTGCATTTTTTTGGCGATTCTTCCCAACGGTTTACTAACCCCCATTCCTCATTGTTTTGTCAGTGGGACTCAAAATTACAGCCTGTAAAAAAAGTCAGCAGTTGCGAAAAAGTCTTAGCCAGATAATTCCTTACTAGTAGCGGTGACGAGTGATTTAAAGAAATAAGTCGTTCGATGGATTATTCAAGGCCCCTGTTCTAGACCTCTAAGAGCGGGCCCATTCAGAGTGCATAATCTTCTGCATATCACCGAGTGGGCTTTTCGTCGCTCCGGGTTCAGGCGTGGGTAGGGAACCCTCTGCGTTGTTCATTTAAAAGTTTATTTCAACGCATCAGATTTCCATGTTTTTCTTCCTCGCTTATGGTTCTCTCCCAGGTTCAGAATGGAGGACATTGTGCCTCCGCCGCCTGCATCAGCAGGCCATCACAGAGCAAACCATCACAGAGCAGCGGCACTGCAAGACGGCGAATCTGGCAAGGCATATCATACTCCCAGCCGTTTCCGGCGACTGGTGCAAGCCGGAACTCCGCAGCAGGGGGGGGGCATTTCTTTGCAGCGAGGCCAGCCGAGAGTAGCTTTTACACAGCTGACCAAGAACATCCCGGTCCGCACGCCACAGTCGTCGAGTGAGTGCCGAGTCCGCAGCAAGGCACTCATGGATGGACGAGGCTTGTCTACAGCATCTGCACCTCTCCCCGTTTCAATATTTTTGCGGCTGAGGTTTATTCTGTTTCCTTACTTCGTTGACCCTGATCCGTTGTTGTTCTGTGCGTCCCCCCTCTCCCCATTCCCTCCCTTTTTTCAGATCCCACCAGATCAGTCAGGACTCTAAGCATTGCTCCACCTGCAGGTCTCTCAAGTACTGCCAAGACTCCAAGGACCGCTGCCAAGACTCCAAGGACCGCTGCCAAGACTCCAAGGACCGCTGCTAAGACTCCAAGGACCGCCGCCATGACACCCAGGCGGTTACCGGGAACAGCCTCAAATGATTCAAATATTCAAGTATGGACTTTTCTACCAATCTGTCCCCATCCTTCCTTTTCCGGAGAATGTGAGGCATGAGCGAGGTCACCGAAGGAGAGAACGTACCGCTTTGCATGCATTTGATTTCCACCTCCATGTCGTCTCTCTTTCCCCCTCCGTTTCATCCCTATTTCTACCTCCATTTCGTCTCCCTTTTTGCATCCGTTTCGTCTCTCTTTCCGCCTCCATTTCGCCTATCATTTCACATCCATTTCGCCTATCGTTTCGCCTCCCTATCGTTTCGCCTACCTATCGTTTCGCCTCCTCGCCTCCCTATCGTTTCGCCTCTTTGCTCCTCCAATTCACCTCTCTTTCTGCCCAGCTGCTTGACGTCAGGTGATTGTGGGGAAGGTCACGGCAGGACAGAATGTGAGGCGCGCGAGGGAGGTCACTTCGTATGAACCAATTCGCTCACTTTCTCCCATTCTCTTCCTCGTTTTGCCTCCTCCTCCTCTCACTCCACCCAATCGCTCTCCTTCCTCATCTCCCGACAGGTGTTAGTGAGGGTGCGTCACCTGATGGACGAGCGCAAGGAGCGCTGTGTGGTGAAGAGCGGTCCGCAGTCACTCGCTCTCGCAGGCAAACAGTTCACCTTCGACCATGTGGCCGGGGAAACTGCCTCGCAGGTGGGCACAGGGATGGGAGCTCTTGAAGAGAATGGAAGCGTTGAGAGGGGGAAGCAGAGAGCGCACTGCAGGCATGTGAAGGATGTTCCCCCTCCCCCTCCCCCTCCCCCTCCACCTCCCCCTCGCTTGCCAAATCAACCAGTTCAGTTGGCTGATTTTGAGGCGCCTCACAGGCCCGCTCCCCCTACTTTTTCCCCCCACCCTCCCCCTTCCCCTCTCCTCTTTTTCCTCTCCAACCTGCCCCCACAGGAGGAGCTGTTTGAGCTGGCAGGGCGGCCCATGGTGGACAACTGCATTGCCGGTTACAACAGCACAATATTCGCCTATGGCCAGGTGCGTCCTCCCTCCCCCTCTGAGCCCAAGTGCGCCCTCTCCTCCCCTCTGAGCCCAAGTGCGCCCTCTCCTCCCCTCTGTGCCCAAGTGCGCCCTCTCCTCCCCTCTGTGCCCAAGTGCGCCCTCTCCTCCCCTCTGTGCCCAAGTGCGCCCTCTCCTCCCCTCTGTGCCCAAGTGCGCCCTCTCCTCCCCTCTGTGCCCAAGTGCGCCCTTTTCTCCCCCTTGAGCCCAAGTGCGCCCTACCCTACCCTCTGTGCCCAAGTGCGCCCTCCCCTCCTCTCTGTGGTGTATAGCATCAGCTGTCATCCCGTTCTTCTTTCTCCTATCGCTCCTGTGCATCCTCTTGTCCCTGCCCCCGTTCTTGAGCATTGACAACCTTGACGCAGTCTTAACCATACCTACTTTTTCCTCCTCAACAATACACTCTCCTTCTCCTCCCTTCGTTTGCCCACTCCCTCTACCTTGTGACGCATCGCAGACGGGTAGCGGGAAGACGTACACGATGTTTGGAGCTGACGTGGACACGGCTGACGTGGAACGGATGCGAGTGGAGGCTGACGTGGAGGTTGGGACGAGATGGGGGATGATCCCGCGCATGTGTCACCTGCTCTTTACCCAGCTAAAACAGGTGCGTGTCCCACTTCTCGCATCCTGCTGCCTGCATGCGTGCAGCTCAATTGGGAGCCGGAACTTCCAAAAAGGGGTTTAAGATATGAGAGGTGTATGTTTGATGACGCATCCCACTTTTTGTTTGCTGACTATTTCATGCTGGCTGTTCATTCGATGCCACCATCCCTTGCCCGATGCTAATGCCTTTATTGCACTTCCCTCGCTTTTCAGATGGCCACCTACTTACTCGCCTCCCCTTTTCCCAAACTGCCTCCGCCTCCTTCCGTCACTCCCGGCCCCTCTTCCTCCCCTTTTGCCAGGTGAAGCAGCATAGGGAGGAGAGAGCCTTAACTTCACCTACACAGGCTCATACCTTGAAATCTACAACGACCAGTTGTCTGACCTGTTTTCTGATTTGATGCCTGTCCGCCCCTCCTTCCCCCTCCCGTCTGCCAGGAGAAGCAGCGGAGGGGTGAGAGCTTTGCCTTCACATGCACGTGCTCATATCTTGAGATATACAACGACAAGTTGTCTGACCTGCTCAACCCCAACCCCGACCCCAATCTTGGCAAACTGGAGGTGAGTGCTGCACCTGGGCTGTGTTGTGCCAGCCACTCATATCATTTGGGCTGTGTCGTGCTGTTCGTAGCCCTTTGAACCCCGCCTGGTCATCTGTGTGGTTCCCCCCCCCTCTCCCCCCCCCCACCCCCTCAAATCTGTGTGGGCCTCAGCAGAATATCGTGCTTGGCGAGCCTCCCTCCCTCCCCAACCCCGTCAATTCTTTGTGGGCTCTAGTGAAATCTCGCTGTTCCCTCCCATGTCTCCCTCAGATTCGAAAGGGCACCGACGATGTGTTTGTGGATAACCTCACCCAACATCCAGTCGTGTGCTTCGCTCAAGTCATGGAGCTTATCCAGCGGGTGAGTGGGCGAGCTAGCTCTTCTGTACTGATGGCTTGGCTTGTGGGTGGAGCTAGCAGTATATAGTTTCTTTGGTGGCTTTTCTTGTGCTAAATGCATGGAGCCGATCAAACAGGTGAGCTGTCTGATAGCACCTTTTCACGCAAATGCCTTGCGGTTTGAGTCAGAGACAGCTTCTAATGCTGCCCTTCCAATTTCCAGCCATGAGAGGAGTTGCAATATGATGGTGATTCATAGATAGCTTGTGTGAAGTGCGTCAATCATGTATAGCAAGCTTTGACAGTCATTCTCTGTTGTTCTTAGGGGGGTAATGGGGTTGTCACAGTCTGTGTGCATTGACTGGTGTGTGCGAGGCAGGGAATGAAGCACCGGCGGACGGAGGCGACAAACATGAACGAGAAAAGTAGCCGCTCCCATTGTGTCTTCACATGCTACATCAAGACCACGGTGGGTTCTGTTCTGGTAGGGTTCAAATTGAAGCACGGTGATTCCTAGTAGGTTTGGAACACAGTGGGGTGCTGTTGACAGGCTTCAAGGTGCAAAGTTGGGTTCTGCATTAAGTCAAAATTACGCGTGCAGCATTGGTAGCGCAGTGAGTGTTGATAGGCTTGGGGCATTCAAACACTGTGAGCACACTCAATGCATGCCCTTCCATGCTTGCACTTTTTCATGTGTGCATGCCTTCCGTGCTCGCATGTTTTCATGTGTGCATGCCTGCGTGTGCAAACGTGCATGCCTCCTCACCACTGCAGTGCCACAAAAGTCGACTCCACCTCGTTGACCTGGCAGGCTCTGAAAGGTACTTTGATCCTCCCAACCTGCGTTTGAAAAGAGTTTGAGCCGCTGCCAGCTCACAATACACAACTCCCCTGCCATGTCTTGAATTTTGAGCGCCGCAAAAAACACGATTCTCTTGCCTGTTTTATGGGGCACTCAATCACCCCATGGGGCACTCAATCACCCCATGGGGCACTCAATCACCCCATGGGGCACTCAATCACCCCATGGGGCACTCAATCACCCCATGGGGCACTCAATCACCCCATGGGGCACTCAATCACCCCATGGGGCACTCAATCAATCACCCCATGGGGCACTCAATCACCCCATGGGGCACTCAGTCACCCCATGGGGCACTCAATCACCCCATGGGGCACTCAATCACCTCATGGGGCACTCAATCACCCCATGGGGCACTCCATCACCCCATGGGGCACTCAATTACCCCATGGGGCACTCAATCACCCCATGGGGCACTCAATCACCCCATCGGGCACTCAATCACCCTATGGGGCACTCAATCACCCCATGGGCAATCACCCCATGGGGCACTCAATCACCCCATGGGGCACTCAATCACCCCATGGGGCACTCAATCACCCCATGGGGCACTCAATCAATCACCCCATGGGGCACTCAATCACCCCATGGGGCACTCAATCACCCCATGGGGCACTCAGTCACCCCATGGGGCACTCAATCACCCCATGGGGCACTCAATCACCCCATGGGGCACTCAATCACCCCATGGGGCACTCAATCACCCCATGGGGCACTCAATCACCCCATGGGGCACTCAATCACCCCATGGGGCACTCAATCACCCCATGGGGCACTCAATCACCCCATGGGGCACTCAATCACCCCATGGGGCACTCAATCACCCCATGGGGCACTCAATCACCCCATGGGGCACTCAATCACCCCATGGGGCACTCAATCACCCCATGGGGCACTCAATCACCCCATGGGGCACTCAGTCACCCCATGGGGCACTCAATCACCCCATGGGGCACTCAATCACCCCATGGGGCACTCAATCACCCCATGGGGCACTCAATCACCCCATGGGGCACTCAATCACCCCATGGGGCACTCAATCACCTCATGGGGCACTCAATCACCCCATGGGGCACTCAGTCACCCCATGGGGCACTCAATCACCCCATGGGGCACTCAATCACCCCATGGGGCACTCAATCACCCCATGGGGCACTCAATCACCCCATGGGGCACTCAATCACCCCATGGGGCACTCAATCACCTCATGGGGCACTCAATCACCCCATGGGGCACTCAGTCACCCCATGGGGCACTCAATCACCCCATGGGGCACTCAATCACCCCATGGGGCACTCAATCACCCCATGGGGCACTCAATCACCTCATGGGGCACTCAATCACCCCATGGGGCACTCAGTCACCCCATGGGGCACTCAATCACCCCATGGGGCACTCAATCACCCCATGGGGCACTCAATCACCCCATGGGGCACTCAATCACCCCATGGGGCACTCAATCACCCCATGGGGCACTCAATCACCTCATGGGGCACTCAATCACCCCATGGGGCACTCAGTCACCCCATAGGGCACTCAATCACCCCATGGGGCACTCAATCACCCCATGGGGCACTCAATCACCCCATGGGGCACTCAATCACCCCATGGGGCACTCAATCACCCCATGGGGCACTCAATCACCCCATGGGGCACTCAATCACCCCATGGGGCACTCAATCACCCCATGGGGCACTCAATCACCCCATGGGGCACTCAGTCACCCCATGGGGCACTCAATCACCCCATGGGGCACTCAATCACCCCATGGGGCACTCAATCACCCCATGGGGCACTCAATCACCCCATGGGGCACTCAATCACCCCATGGGGCACTCAATCACCTCATGGGGCACTCAATCACCCCATGGGGCACTCAGTCACCCCATGGGGCACTCAATCACCCCATGGGGCACTCAATCACCCCATGGGGCACTCAATCACCCCATGGGGCACTCAATCACCCCATGGGGCACTCAATCACCCCATGGGGCACTCAATCACCCCATGGGGCACTCAATCACCCCATGGGGCACTCAATCACCCCATGCCACAGCCCCATGCTATATCTTTTGGCCGCCCCATGCCATGTCCCTGTCGCAACATGACTCCACTCCTCACGCAGCTCCTGTAATGCCTTCCTCGCCCCTCTCGTGCACTGCACCCCAATCCACCGTTCTCCACCCCTGGCAGGCAAAAGGAATCAGGGGCGGAGCGTGATCGGCTCAAGGAAGCGTGCACCATCAACTCGTCCCTCTCCTGCCTCGGGTTCGTCACCTCCCTTCCTTACCTGTGTATATCTTTGCACGCTGCACTCGCCTACTGTTTCTCATTTCACCTCCCGTTCGTCACCTCCCTTCCTTACCTGTGTATACCTTTTCACACTGCACTCTCCTGCTGTTTCTTATTTCACTCTTGTGTATCACGCCCGACCGTGCCTATGCCTGTGCCTTTGCATTTGCCTGTTTGCATGTGCTGGTCTCACAGCAAGGTGATCATGCAGCTAGTGGAATCGCTGAATGAGAACAAGCCTCGCTACATTCCGTACCGTGATTCCCGCCTCACCCGCTTCCTCCAGGTGAACGCTTCTCTTTTTTCTAGGTGAAATACTCCTGTGAGACCAGTTCGTTTCTAGCATTTGGGAAAGCGAAAAGGATCCTGCTACTGCCTTGTTTGTATTCCTCCTCAAGTTGAACTCTCTCCCTCCTCCAGATTGCTGTCATGTCTCGTAGTTTCTCTTGTCATTTGAAGTAAGAAAAAGTGCCCACCCCCACCCTCACTCCCCTTCCTGACGCCTATTTCCCACGTACTAGGCACCACCATTTCATGTCGTATGCAAGAATCACTGGGTGGTGAGTATTGATTCGACTCAACAGCCGCCCCTCAGTCCCTATCCTGATGCCTCTATCCTTCCTTTCCCCACCATTTCATCTTTTATGCAGGACTCTTTAGGAGGCAACTCAAAGACTACCATGATTGCGTGCGTCAGCCCAGCTTTAGAGTAAGTGTTGGGACTTGTCAAGGCTGCGTCAGCCTATCCGAAAGGTAATCAGTGTAGTTGTGAAGCGGATCCAGAGAGGTGTGTCTCTGTGCATTTGTAGCTGGTGCTTGCGGGTGAGTCGCAGCATTGTCAAGCCAAGGGTCACAACCCGTTCATATTGTATGTTTGTATGCTGTCTTGCCTGACACTTCTTCTGCACCTGTACTTGGACCCTGTTCTTGTATGTTTGACCTGACCTGCAGGTGTCCTTGGATTGGACCTGTTTGCTACAACTCCTCCATCCAATTCCGTTTGAACTGCCTCCAAGAAACTCTCCCTGTATCATACCGCCTCTGTGTCCCTCCCTCACCTGCAGGACATGCGACGCGACCCGCAGCACGCTCGACTTCGCAAAGGGGGTGAAGGAGGTGCGCAACACGGCAGTTGTGAATGAGGCTGTAGAGAGCCAGCAGGACGACCAGCAAGCAGAGATCTCCAGGCTCAAGGTGTGATGCCCCTCCTGCCTTGCTGCCATGCTGCCATGCTGCCCTGCTGCCATGCTGCCCTGCTGCCATGCTGCCATGCTGCCCTGCTGCCCTGCTGCCATGCTGCCCTGCTGCCATGCTGCCATGCTGCCCTGCTGCCCTGCTGCCCTGCTGCCCTGCTGCCATGCTGCCCTGCTGCCCTGCTGCCCTGCTGTCCTTCTGCCATTCTGCCCTGCTTCCCTGCATCCCTACTGCCCTGCTGCCCTGCCTTCCTGCTGCCCTGCTTCCCTTCCTTCCTGCAGCCCTGCTTTGCCGCCTCCTCATTCTTCCTCCCCTCCGACCTCCATTCCGTTGTCCTTTCCAAGCAGGACGCTGAAGCGGGTAACAGCACCCTCAATGCCAGCCTGAATCCTCTTGAACAGGAGGTGATGGAGCTACAAGGGAGGCTGGTTACGGAGGAGAGGAGGCGGCGTGAGGCAGAGCGGGCGGCGGAAGATGCGAAAAAAGAGATGCAGGGGAAAGAAGGGAAGATTCAAGAGCAAGAAGGGAAGATTAAGGAGCAGGAAGAGCAGCTTCAGGAGCTTAGAGGGATGCTCGTCACAGCGGAGGGGAGGAGGCGTGAGGCAGGGCGGGCGGCGGAAGAGACAAAACAAGAGATGCAGGGGAAGGAAGGGAAGATTCAAGAGCAGGAAGAGCAGCTTCAAGAGCTTAGAGGGATGCTGGTTATAGAGGAGGGGAGGAGGCGTGAGGCAGAGGGGGTGACGGAAGAGGCAAAACAAGAGATGCAGGGGAAGGAAGGGAAGATTCAAGAGCAGGAAGAGCAGCTTCAGGAGCTTAGAGGGATGCTGGTCACAGCGGAGGGGAGGAGGCGCGAGGCAGAGCGGGCGACGGAAGAGGCAAAACAAGAGATGCAGGGGAAGGAAGGGAAGATTCAAGAGCAGGAAGAGCAGCTTCAGGAGCTTAGAGGGATGCTGGTCACAGCGGAGGGGAGGAGGCGCGAGGCAGAGCGGGCGACGGAAGAGGCAAAACAAGAGATGCAGGGGAAGGAAGGGAAGATTCAAGAGCAGGAAGAGCAGCTTCAGAAGCTTGGAGGGAGGATGATCACAGAAGAGGAGAGGAGGCGCGAGGCAGAGCGGGCGGCAGAAGAGGCAAAACAAGAGATGCAGGGGAAGGAAGGGAAGATTCAAGAGCAGGGAGTGAAGCTTCAGGAGCAGGAAGTGAAGCTTCAGGAGCAAGAAGTGAAGCTTCAGGAGCAGGAAGTGAAGATTCAGGAGCAAGAAGTGAAGCTTCAAGAGCAAGAAGTGAAGCTTCAGGAGCAAGAAGTGAAGCTTCGAGGGCAAAACAAGAAGGTGGTAAATGAGGGCCAGCAGAGCGGCCAGCAGGCAGAGATCACCAGGATCGAGGTACTGCGCTGCTTCCGACCTGCCCACCCATTCCATCATCCTTGCCTCATTTTCCCTTCTTCCCTCCTACCCCTCCCCTGCTTTGCATGTTCTCCTCCCTCTCACCAACGGTGCTTCCCCCTTCCTCTCCCCTTCCTCCAACTGTGCTTCCCCTCTCCACCCCCCCTCATCCCCCATCCCCACAGGACCAGCTTTGCTTCTTTTGTGAGCTCTGCACCTGTAAAGCCCATCTGCGCATCCCCTCCTCTTCCTGCCCGCCTCCCTCCTCCCTCCCTCACTCCTGCCCCACCACACCTGCCACACCTTGCATTCCTGCCATTACCAACCTACCCAGCGCCACTGCTGATGCTGGGACCACTACTACTGCTGATGCCGGCACTACTGCTACTGCTGATGCTGGCAATACTGCTACTGCTGATGCTGGCAATACTGCTACTGCTGATGCTGGCAATACTGCTACTGTTGATGCTGGAGTCTCGAATGGTGCTGCCTGGGTCCGAGGGCAGCTGGCGCTGCTGAGCAGGGGGGAACTCGAGCAGTTGCTGGATGGGTGGCAGCGCAGGTTGCGAGAGATGAAGAGGGAAGAGCGAGAGCTGATGAGGGAAGTGCGAAATGTCGGGGCCACGAACGTGCTGCTAAGGGAGCAGCTCGCTGCTGCTGCTGCTGTTGCCGCGACTGCTACTCCTACTGCTGATCCTGTTGCTGCTGGTGGTGTAGGGACGAAGGTGAAGGCGCAAATGGGAAGGAGGTGGGAGAGGGAGAGGATGGGTCGGACAGAAGGGGTGGTGGGAAGTCTGACGACTATAATGGAGGAGGAGGAGGAGAAGGATGAGGAGGAGGAGGAGAAGAATGAGGAGGAGGAGGAGGAGGAGGAGGAGGAGGAGGAGGAGGAGGAGGAGGAGGAGGAGGAGGAGGAGGAGGAGGAGGAGGAGGAGGAGGAGGAGGAGGAGGAGGAGGAGCAGAGGGGTGAGGAGTTGGAGGAGCAGAGGGGTGAAGAGTTGGAGGAGCAGAGGGGTGAGGAGTTGCGAATGGTGGAGAAGCGCCCGAGGAGGGGAGAGGAGTTGGAGGAGGTGATGGTGCGAGAGGCAAAGAGGAGGGCGAAAAAGGATGGACTATCACTGGAGGAAGCAGCAAGGAGGGTGCCAGAGGTGCAAGAAGGGGAGGTGATGGCAGGGGAACTTGTGAGTGAGAGACTTGTGGGGCAGGAGGAGAGAGTGATAGAGAGTTTGGCAGGGCAGGAGGAGGGAGTGGGTGAAAGACTGGGGGGCCAGGAGGAGGAGGTAATGGGTGAAAGACTGGGAGGGCAGGAAGAGGAGGGAGTGAATGACGAACAAGGGATGCAGGAAGAGGAGGAGGAGGTAGTGGGTGAAAGACTGGGAGGGCAGGAAGAGGAGGGAATGAATGACGGACAAGGGATGCAGGAAGAGGAGGAGGAGGTAGTGGGTGAAAGACTGGGAGGGCAGGAAGAGGAGGGAATGAATGACGGACAAGGGATGCAGGAAGAGGAAGAGGAGGTAGTGGGTGAAAGAGTGGGAGGGCAGGAAGAGGAGGGAATGAATGACGGACAAGGGATGCAGGAAGAGGAGGAGGAGGTAGTGGGTGAAAGAGTGGGAGGGCAGGAAGAGGAGGGAATGAATGACGGACAAGGGATGCAGGAAGAGGAGGAGGAGGTAGTGGGTGAAAGACTGGGAGGGCAGGAAGAGGAGGGAATGAATGACGGACAAGGGATGCAGGAAGAGGAGGAGGAGGTAGTGGGTGAAAGACTGGGAGGGCAGGAAGAGGAGGGAATGAATCACGGACAAGGGATGCAGGAAGAGGAGGAAGAGGTAGTGGGTGAAAGACTGGGAGGGCAGGAAGAGGAGGGAATGAATGACGGACAAGGGATGCAGGAAGAGGAGGAGGAGGTAGTGGGTGAAAGACTGGGAGGGCAGGAAGAGGGGGGAATGAATGACGGGCAAGGGATGCAGGAAGAGGAGGAGGAGGTTGTGGGTGAAAGACTGGGAGGGCAGGAAGAGGAGGGAGTGAATGACGGACAAGGGATGCAGGAAGAGGAGGAGGGAAGGAGTGAGAGACCAAGGAGGCAGGAGGAGGAGGAAGGGGGAAGTGAGAGACTAGGGGGGCAAGAGGAGGAGGAAGATACGGGGAGCCAGCTGATAGTGCGCCAGAGACCAAGGGGAGGGGGAGGGACGCGGCTGCAGCTGAGGGAGCAAGGGGGGAGGAGGGAGCGGCGGCCGTTCACCGTGGACGAGGTAGCGTCGCTGGTGGCTGCTGTGGAAAAAATTGGTACTGGCAGGTGGGTGAGGGTGAGGGTGAGGGTGAGGGTGAGGGTGAGGGTGAGAGTGAGGGTGAGGGTGAGGGTGAGGGTGAGAGTGAGGGTGAGGGTGAGAGTGAGGGTGAGGGTGAGAGTGAGGGTGAGGATGAGAGTGAGGGTGAGGGTGAGGGTGAGGGTGAGGGTGAGAGTGAGGGTGAGGGTGAGGGTGAGGGTGAGAGTGAGGGTGAGGGTGAGAGTGAGGGTGAGGGTGAGGGTGAGGGTGAGAGTGAGGGTGAGGGTGAGGGTGAGGGTGAGGGTGAGAGTGAGGGTGAGGGTGAGAGTGAGGGTGAGGGTGAGAGTGAGGGTGAGGGTGAGAGTGAGGGTGAGGGTGAGAGTGAGGGTGAGGGTGAGGT